CCCCCCCATATCTCTCTCTCTCTCTCTCTCTCACGTTTTCAATACTGCTCTTTTACTTTATAATAGATAAAAAAATAACTCTTTTCTTAAAGGAATCGCTCGCTCATATTGCGAGCATGACAAATCGGAATTGCGTTATGTGGTCGCGGGCGAGTCCGGTTTGTCTTGACCTTTTTGCACGTTAAGGCGTTTGTGATCATTTCTGTACTTTTTAATAGTTAAATTAGTGCTTGATGAACTTGAAAAACGTAAAGCTACTGGATCTAAGCTCGCCGCTAACTTCAAATAAGTTTCTTCCATTTCCCGAGTCACTTTGATTTCATAATCGACCTGAGGCGAAGAATTAGCCCTTTGATCATTTTGCTTCTGATTAGGGACTTTGGCATCGGTTGATAAATCAAATGTGATAAGATCTTCATCGTTCTGACCTTTCAAATCGATCTCCTTATTGCAATATTTATTGGATGATTCATGCCTGTGAGAAATATCCATGCGGTTCATTGAATTTGTATCAGCGGAATCTGGAGCAGTATATACCTTTTGCATGCGTGCCTTGTCCTCATAGTTGACGCATGCGTTTATATGAAAAATATATGCCTTATCATTCGGAGTCGTACAAGGTAAGAACTCTGATATTTTCTTGGATGTATTATAATTCGACAATGAATTTTCAACGGGTGCAAAAGAACGGACCCATTCAGCGACTCTTTGAAGTTGCTCGTTATCCTGGGGTAATATTGGCGAATTCTCTTCGCTACTGGTTGAAGCCGACCTGGCTGATCGCACTGATTTACCCGTGTGTACCAGAGCTGTGTTTGGCCTATTCGAACTACTGGTGTAGAGCACAGTATGAAAATGTCCTGCATTATCTAGAAGAATATTTTTTGAACCTGGCGTGACTCTCACGAGACAATTTCTTGGCCCAGTAACGCGACGATCCTGGCAATTTGAATCTAAATTATTGCTACAATGTGATTGCTTCTCGTTACCCGAGCAAATAGGAGCGCTAGAACTACTTGGTGGATCTGAGGTTGAAATAACAATGCTGTCGCTACTGAAACTTGGACTTGCAGCTTTGACGGTTTGTCTTAAATCATTTTGATTCGTTCCAGTATAGTCAATTGCGTTCATAACCTCTATCGAAGTTACTTGAAATGGTTTACCACTGTGACCACGTGAGCTATCGTTCTTCCAAACTCTGTCATTGATGACGTCGATTTGAGTTTCATGATTCGTTCGCAATGGTCGTTCTGGCATTGTTGTACTAAATGACCCTACTTTGTTCTTTGATTTCATCCACCATTCGTTTTTCCAGAGTCTGTCGTTTATCATATTTATTCGACTTAACTCCTCCTTTCGCATGAGGTTGTTATCTGAGTTGTTTGTATCGACATCAATACTTTGTTGCCAATTATTTTTCCCGATCTTGCTCCAGTTACTGTCTTTGGGTTTTAATCCAACTTGAGCGTCAACTTTTTTAGCTAGTAATTTTAGCTGCCTTGTCTTGTTTAGACCAGGCTGATTGCCAACAGCTTGGGATGGTGCCTGTTCATTTGTATCATTTTGATTTTTGCAAGAGTTCTGATGTCGGATAGACAATTTTGTACTGGTGGACTCCTTTGTGTTTGAACCTGTGTGCTGGCATGCTGAATTTATTTGATTTCCATGACCCCTGGATTTGATGTTTGTGATATTATTCATTTTGTGTTTAGTGCCTACTTTCTCATTCACACACTGAAAGTTACTATGCTTGATATTCTCATTGTTATTACATAAAACGTTACCTTTACTATTATTAACAGTATTATCATTGGTTTCTTGAAAAATAGGTTGTCTAGTGAAATTATCACTACGTTCATAATTTTTTAATGACGTACGGTCATATTTAATAAAATTATCCTTACTTTCAACAGTTCGTCCCACATTATCGTTCATCCCAGTAGCAGTTTGAACGTTGCAGACGTCTTTCATTCTCCATTTCTTACAAATACAAATATCAGACGAGTCGGTGGTCTGCACTGCCGAATCGGCCGTTAAAATACTTTTGTGGCAGGAACAGGTATCGCAGTGCTTGGCCAAAACTCTCTCTCTCTCGCGATCCTTCAGTACCTTGGCCATGATGGAGGCCGATACAAGGTCCACAGGAGATTTTGACTCGTCGCTGTCGTTGTCCTCGTCGCTATCTTTATCGATGTTTGCCTTAGCAACGTTATATACCATAGCTGTTGGAGGAAATGTCGAAATTGGTACAGTAATGCTCTTAACATCAGGCGCAGTCACCTCGCTGGATCGTCGCTTTTGTGCAACATAAGTTCGCACCTTGGCCTGAACTTCCAATGGTAACTGAAAATGAAGTTGAAATGAAATATTTTAAATTAAAGATTTTAATTTTATATTAAAACTTTTAGGTAGATTATCTTATCTCTCATAAAAGTGTCTTCATTGCCTGTCTTACCGTGTCATACTTCTGACCTACAAAATTAGATGGCTTACACTGCAACAGTTGAATAGCCAAATTTACATCGTTCCTGTACTTTTCCTGAAATATCAATGAGACAATTGAATTGATGCCGATATACGCAGACTATATTTGATGCAATGAGTTTTACATTATCTTGTGTTAAACGATGTATTGTATAATTGGCATCAGCAAGTCTATGGGACAGAGTTGCTATGTCCTTAGCAAAGGCACCCTTCTCAGTCTCGCACTTATCGACTATTCTTAACAGCTTGTCCTCAAGATTTTGGTTAACCTTCTGTACCCTCTTGTGAGCTTCGAGTAGTCTAGAATATTTGTCCTGCCAAGCTAATATCTCTTCCCTTATGGATGCCATCTCTCCATTAGGAAATTTATCAGCCTCGTTTAAGAATTGTGTCTCCATTGTAACAATGTGACTATCTCTTTCCATGAGGCGCTGTCTCAAGTGTTCTATTTCAACATGTAAATGTATATCGCTGTGATCTTGTACTATCGGAGAACATTGAGTGCACATGCATCCACATTCCTAGAAAAATAAGTTTAAATAATCATTTGCAGGTAAAACTGTAGAATATAACTCCTTTTTCAAGAGCTTCATCTAAAGAATAAACTACAGAATCCACAGCTAACTTCAGAAGTCGTATTATACAGTTTATCCTTTCCTCCTACTAATAGAGTATATGCAATATATACCATTGGTAAATTCACACTTTACACTCACCTTACATTTCTCGGCCATACTGAAATGTAGCGGTTTTATGAATAGCAATAGAAAAATACCGTAAACATGTAATTATTCGATAATGGAACCTCATAACCCTTCCGATTGATATCCTTGAGTAGTCTGCAAGACTGCACTATATTACATTGACTATCCGATTCGTATTGCTCTTAGCTAACTAAGCCGTAAACAAATATACAGGAAAATGAAGCAAAAATTCTTGAAATTGAATGAAATACTACACAGAGCACTCCAAAGTGACAACCATACAAAAGTCTGTCGTCTGCCACTGTCTGCCACACGATACTGTCCCTGTGTTCCGATATAAGCTTTCAGTACGGTGTAAATGACATCATTACTGTATACGTGCGACCGTTCCGTTTTTATCAGTTGTACTGTTCAAATTGTATAACCTTCCTTCTTTTCCTTATAGCTGACTCCTCCAATGAGGAGATGTGCCAGTCAAATTGTATAACGGAACACGGAAAGTATCTGCAGCACTGAACTCTAACCATACTGGACGCGTACGGCAGTGATGGGGGCCGCGTAAAGAGAGATAGCAAGGACACAAGCGAGTGCAGTAGGCTGCTGTATCACACACTGTACAGTCTCTGAAAAAGTTTAAGCTCAGATAAAGCAGTGCGCAGGGGGAGGAGGACTGAGCCAACATAACATAATCTGATTATGAAATAGTGGCACATATATTTTATTTCGAAGACTGCTAAATATTTTTTGTTGTTTTTATAAGGCTCTATATTTATATCATGAAGCCTAGATACGATTTATATGCACTTGTGTTTCAGTGCTCCTTGTATCGCATCACGGTTGGCACCAGTTGGCACTAATATGTCGGTGGGACAACACTTTTGCAGGGCTTGTACACCACATGCGCAGTTCAATTCCAAAAGGACAACCTCCTATACGAGGTGAGTGAGACAGTCGCGCGCTCGCCGGGTTACCTTCGAATATAGGCGTACGCGTTCCAGTATACCTATATTTCAGTGATCTGTAGTATATTACAGAGATGAGTAGGGAGGTTCCCAATGGGCCTGTTCACGTCTTACATACAGGTCTTTCAACGAACGTGGTGGGGGTAGTCCCGCCTAGTGTCCAAATTCGCTAACTCCGATTTACGACACAAAGTGCGCATACATACCTCGGTACCCCCGCCCCACTAAAGGGCTTCCGCCCCTCAGGGTTATACTCAAACTCGGTATTTCTATATCTATGGACACATCGTCAGCTCACGTTGCTTGAATCAGATACTTCTGGCACATCTCCTCATTGTAGGAGTTAGCCATAAGGAAAGGAAGGAAGGAATCAGATACTTTATTGGTTAGTTCTTACTGGTTCCAACATAATTCTCCAATAGCATAGTTTCTCTAAGCAAGTGAATGATCTGTATCTCTCTACTATTTGTGCCATAGAAGAAGAATCGCCTAGAACGGTTCAAAGCGTAACGTAACAAACCAAAGAAACATTCTAAAAGCGTTATATAGAATGAACGGGATGAAAAGGATGTTGCCGAATATATTAGTAACAGGTAAAAGTACAATTTAGATAAATTGATTCTTGGATGTAATTGGGACTGACAATTGTTTCTTTTTATTTTAAAAGGAACACCAGGCGTAGGGAAGAGTACAATGTGTCGAATTGTAGCTGAGAGAACTGGTTTAACTTGGCTTGATGTTAGTAAGCTGGCAATTGACAATAAATGCTTGGAGGAATTTGATGAGGAGTATCAGTGTCCTGTTTTAGATGAGGATAAGGTACAATTACTTTAATACTTAATACAAATTGATAATTATTTTTGTTGTAATATTAACTTAAATTTTATTATTTATGTTTGCTTTACAGCTTCTTGATGGTATGGAAAGTTTAATGAGCAAGGGTGGAAAAATTGTGGATTATTATGGATCAGATCTCTTCCCTGAACGTTGGTTCGATATTGTTTTTGTACTGAGAACAGACAATACTATTCTGTACGATCGTTTGACAGCAAGAGGATACACAGGGAAAAAGTTGGAGGACAATATTAATTGTGAAATATTTCAAACTGCTCTCGAAGAGGCTAAGGAATCTTACAAGGAAGAAATTGTTCATGAACTACAGAGTAATACATCAGCTGATACTGAAGAGAATGTTCAAAGAATTTTTCAATGGTTTGCCCAATGGAAAATTGACAACAGATAAATTTACATTTCTTTTTTATATTTTACAGCTATATTATTTATAAATTACATTTTCACATGAACAATGTAAACCTCAAAATTTCTTACTATATTATACAAGCACTTCCAACTAATGCTCATATCGATTACCATTATTCTATTACATCCAATTCATTTTTAATGTCTTTCAATCTTTTGTAAATACTGGCATAATATTTCATTTGTATCAGTATAACCTTCGCTTTTTCAAGATCATTCTCACGAAAAGCATTTGACGCTTCCCTAAAAAAATATAAAGATAAAAAACAGTGGAGACGTGTGCAATCATTTTATATGCAGCAATTCTGTTAAGTGGAGCAAATCATACTTGGATAATTTTTCTAAGACTTCTTTATTCTCCTCTAGTAGCTTCATTGCTTTTCCCTTGTCTTTAGCAGCACTTTCAACTTCTTCATTTTTCTCCATGATTTTTATAAGGAATTCATTATTTAAATTTGTTGTACCTTCTGGAATTATTAAATTATTTAATTGAAGCAAGTATAAGCCTCTGCTAAGAGGATGCTTCAAAGTACTGTAAGCTTTGTTGAGCAAAGACGATAAATCTTCTGATATCTGCTTTTCTTTCTACGAAAAAAAACAAATATTCAATATTCCTTTTACTTAACATATACTTTCTCATATTTACTTGCCTCTGACTTATTACCATATCTATCTGGATGCAATAAGTTTTGCAATTGCCTATATTTCTTCTGTAGTTCTGTATTGTCTACATCATAATATTGCCTGAGCCCCATTATTTCAAAATAATTTAGTTTCTTTGGTAGCTCCTGAAGCGTTTTACATTTTGAGCAAAACAATTCAGACCTGTATGGATATTTACAATTCCAACATTTTGATGGATCACCACTGGAATACCATTGTTTGTGCAGCAAATTGTTTGCAGACATTCCATGCCTAACCTTACACTGAGTATAGAAATGTTGATATCGAATGCCATATGATTTATTAAACGTGAGTTTAAGAATAGAGCACAGAGCCCTTGCAGCTAATTTCATGTTGATAGCATTGGATCTAAAACATAATATAGTGAAAATCTTATTGTTTGCTCAACGGTATAAGAAGAGCTTTAATTTCGTGCATACGTACATATCGTAAGTTTTAATTAATTCCACCACAAAGCACTGACAAGAACAAGAATTAAGCATAGCAATACCGAAGAGTACTGTACATATCCAACGTATCCAGTTTATCGCAAATCATTATTCCTCTGAGATGAAAATCACCCTCTCGTCCTCATTTTATGGCTACCTGTTCAAGGAGATATTCCAAGAACTGATGCCAACCAGAGATGAGTAGGGAGATCCACAACGCTACGGTTTTAGGCGATACCAAAAACATGGCGCTGAATCGTAGCGGCGAATTCGGAAGTAGAGTTTTGTGATCATCGCTTCCGTCGACAATGCAAATCCCGTCGTAGCCGAGCTGCCCGTAATCACGAATGTGTAGCTTGGCAGGTAGAAGGTTCTCCGTTACTTACAGCTGGTTCCCAAACCAACACTTCGAACGAGGAAGCTCATCGGATATAGCCTAAATATTGTTTTCATTGCAATCATAAATTCGAGCGCACAGTATAAGCTCGGTAAGTTTAATATGACAAAAGCCAGCAAGTCATGCCAGCCTACACTGAAATGTATGATGCCACCAGTATATTTAATAGAAATTTTATCGATGTTGCGTAGCAGAACTATTGGTAAAATCTATCAGAAACTATAGAACTTCTCGAGAAATATTGAAAAAGCGTATTCTTAAAACATTTTTAAGAAATTGCGGTGTCAACTTCATACCCGTATAGCACCTCAATATTTGGAAAATGATTCATCAATAGGCTTTTTCAATAGTTCTCGAGGAGTTCTATAATTTCTGATAGGTTTTAACAATAGTTCTGCAACATAACATCGATAAAATATATATTTTCGAAAAATTGAGCTGCTACACGAGTATGGATCACCGACACCACAACTTTTTAAAAATCTCTTAAAAACATTTCAAAAAATTTCAATCAATAGTTCTCGAGGAGTTCTACAGCTCACGATAGGTATTAATATTAGTTCTTGACTTACCCAGAATTTAAAAAAAAAACTGAGATACAGCCTCCCGAAGGTGAAATTTCGAGTATTTTCAAAATTTACGAACAGGAATATTTGTGAAAGTAATGGCGTATAATGTATCATTATTGCATTTGTCGAATAAATTATCTTGTAACATTTATACACGTAGATATTCTTTTGCCCTCTGTCAATATCCCAGAGTACGAAAGCGTACTGTCTCTCTCTTACTCTCCTCCGTCCTAACTACATCCTTCTCCTACTCCTCCACCATTATGCTATGACACCCTTTTTCAACTACGCTCCATTTTCTCTACCGTAATTTCCATTGCATCTCTGCTATATTATCCGTGTTCTGACTTCGTTTTTCCTTCATCAGTTCTACATTCTAAAATAAAATAATTTCGGATGCAATTTGAAAATCGCATCTTCGAAATTTCAATGGATCAGTTGTTATTAAAGAATTCGCATTAGTTCAAACTTTCGCTGATAAGAGGGCAGCAGCACCTCCTGGGTGTAGGGAATAGGAGATAATGTTTGCAGCTACGAAGCCGTGTTTTAGGTGATCAGTACAGTAACACACGCTAAAAGGATGAATGATACTATTTATTTTAAGATACACACATATTGTTCACTGACGTTGAATAGGAACCGTTTTTACTGACTACTGGCCATTGTCTACTGGCTACTGACGCCACGCGAGGCGTAGCGTCGCTTTTTCATAGGGCGCGTCCACACGATGCCCTAGCTTAAGGCGCGTTTACACGATGCCGCGTGATGACGTCGTGTGTCCACATGGGCATGATAACTGGCGACATCTCTGAGAAAACCAGCCAACTTTTTCTGATAAAATAATTCCGAATGTAAAATTAAAATAAAGTTTATCTCGGAAAGTGTTGGGGCTTAGGGCTTTTTGCATGAGAATTTAAAAAATCAAAAATAGACTGCAAGTCCAAAAAAGTAAAGATATGTTTTGAAAGTGGCCCTATCGCAATTCGATCTGTGCCAGCCTCTTCTATAGACCATTCTGAGTTTCTGCGTTAAGAGATCTCTTCTATTTTATTCCTATATTTCTTTATGATTATCTATCCTTATCCCAGCGGGACTGCCACCCAGAGAGCCCGAATGGCTAGGAGGTGTTGATTGCTGGCTGACTGGCTGGCTGGGAGTTTGGGGTTTGGGGAGTTGAATAGGGTGACTCGGTGGGTTAGTGGTAAATGGCCCAGGTCACCGGCGAATATCGCAGTTACGCATTAGAGAGATGCGGAGACAACTGCTCCCTGATTGGTTAACGATATTACCCAGCTAACGGGCCAACTCTCTCGCCTCCTGGTTCAATTCTATTTCCTTGACTACGGCTGCAGCCACCGCCGCACCATCTCTCGCCATCTCTCGCGTCTCCATGCATCCCCGTTATATGACTTCACGCCGGAAGCCATTGCGCGAAAAAGCTCGTCGCCCCTTTGGAACCGAACGACGCGAGGATTTCACGGAAATCCGCGTAAAGCGATCTCCAGGCAAAAACGAAATTTAATAGAGAGTCCACAGTGTTCTTCTCTCGTCGGTGCGCTATAAACGCGGAATTGGCAAAATCCAGAAAACTCGCGTGGACGAGGAAAAATT